TTATACGTCTTCCGTCGTTCTTGTCTAGTATCGTTATATAGTTCTATATATATATATATATATATATATATATATATATATATATATATATATATATATAATATATATAGGGTTAGGGTTAGGGTTAGGGTTAGTCAGAAATAGCTAAACGAGCCAGGTCAAACAGAGTTCAGTGGGACATAGACCCTACGAGCCTATCTAGTGAATGTGACATCAACGCCGGGGGGGGGGGCATCAACGTCTGACATACAGCTGGTTAAATGAGAGAACGTTGAAAAATGATCCAGATCCAAATCCAGTAAACATTGTAATAAGGCGATGGTGGAATGAGAGCTCTAGCAATCTGGAGGAATATCAATTCATTACAATCTCACTATACATACCATGTGCTGCAAAGACTTTGGTTTATTCATCACCATGGTCTCTCTCTCCCCTTTATCTTTTCCGTTCGATCTCTTTCCTCTCCCTCCCTCTACTCTCTCCCCTCTCCTCTATCTTGCTTGCTGTAAGTTCTTGATTAGTAGCTATCACACACGCGCGCGCGTACGCACGCACGCACACACGTATATCAGGAGTTAATAAAGACAAAGTCTTTATTAACTCCTGACGTATATATATATAAATACTTACTGAGTACGAATATGGCGAGTAGGCGAGTCACCCCCGGCGATACGTCACACCCTACAAACATCGGCTCTAGGAAGTACTTGACGGTGGCCAGCGCCGCGATGCTCTGAGAGGTGGGCCGTCGCAGCAGCAACTCCGTCCAGATGAAAAGAAACGAGACGAGCGAGCCGAACGCCTCGTGTAGGTACGTGTAAATGCCTCCGGACTTGGGAACTGTGAGCCCGATCTCAGCGTACGACAGAGAACCGAACGCGGAAAAGACCCCGCAGGCAACCCAGACGATAAGAGAGAGACCCACGGAGCCAGCGTGAGAGAGAACTCCGCGAGGCGACACGAAGATGCCCGATCCTATCACACTGCCTGCGTTCAGCGCCACGGCCCTTAGAAGAGTTAACTCTTTCCTCATGTAAACCTTGTCATCGTCTGCACTGCTCGTGTTCTGAGCGTGACATCTACGCTTTAACGTACGCCCACAATCCATGGCGGTAGTCTCTACTGCCGTCCGTTACGTCTGCTACTGAACTAGAGCGGCGTGTAGATGACAATGTTGTTTATAGCTGGTATTTCCACTGCTTACACGAGGTGGCGCTGCCAAGATTGTGATATGGCCCTACGGGTGTTGCTATCCCACGGGCGTGGAGGGAGGTCACGTGATAACGTTGACGATGACGTTCAAAACGTTAAACCTAACGGTAACGCTCACTCCAACACCGTCAACACTAACACTAACACTAAATCTAAATATATATGTGTCGCCGCGCTATATATAGGCATTGTGATCCACAAAAATTAATCTATGGTGTGGGGACAGATATCATGATGCAAAAACCCTAACCCTAACCCTAATCCTAACCCTAACCCTAACCCTAACCCTAACCCTAATCCTAACCCTAACCCTAACCCTAATCCTAACCCTAACCCTAACCCTAACCCTAACCCTGACCCTAACCCTAATCCTAACACTATCCCAACACTAGTGCTGCCACATTGCGGTCACCTCCCTCCACGCCCGTGGGATAGCATTACCCTGGTTGTACAGTGGGAAATCATTTCCCATTGGCGGCCATACTTACGGAAAAATTCCCATAAATCAGCAGGTTTTTTTTGAGAAATTACAATGCCATCCTCTGAATCCACGTCGCAAGTGACACCATATATGTTGTTAACTCGAAAATTCTTCCATATTTTTTCTGTAAACAAGCTTTTCTCGGCACACACGAAATGGCTTCCTTTGAAACTTCCCCGGCCGCCCCAGCAATGCACCCAGGACGAGCCGCTTACACTGTCGGATTCAGCAAATATTCTAGTTCTTGAAATCAACAATTGCAAAGCGTTCTAACCATTTCTAATAAGAAATAAAAAATTTAAGTGCGCATACACTGAAAAACGATCTCATTCTGCGGATTGTTCATCAATGTTGCACTATTTAGTCTCTGGAAAAGGCAATCTTTTGAATTTTTTGGCGGTAAAATTCCAAACTAGAGTGCACTAATTTGCAGTATGCACGCAAGGTAGATGCCTCGTAGACGTCTAGAAGGCATTATAAGTAAGGTTGATCTTGTCGTATAATCGTACCATTCCGTCAAGTGGCGTAGTCATGGTGACCGGTCGGCCATTTTTGTGTTTGAGACGGGATCCGACTACTCTGTGAAAATGCTCATCATTTAACTGGCAAAAGTTTCAAGCGGAGTATAGACCTTGAATCTGTGTTTTTTTAGCATGAATAAAGTGTATGTTGTGTATGAGACGAAACTCTGAGTATTTTAAATTATTTTCTGTTCGATACTTATTCAGGCTTGCTGCCTATGGACGCCCTCTACTGTTGTACAACACCTTTAGCAAATATATATATGTAGGTAGAGAAATATATATATTCTATATATATAGTATATATATTACATATATTATAATATAAATGCTGACCCCTCCAGCAAAACCAGCGATAAGTAGGAAATTCTAACAAATTGATTATGTGGATTATCAATGAATAATCATTTTAATTACCTTAAAATCGATATATAATAATTTGGCTATATCTAAAGACATTGACCGATCTACAGCAAGTTGAAGATCGGGAACCGAACTTATTCGCGGCAATATGCCAGCTTTTACGATAAAGCGATTTCGGTAAGGGCCCAGTCGCGGGACATGAATCGGTCCAGCGGGCCCTTAAAACATTATTTTTTTATAATTAAAAATGACCGCATGAACATAATCTAGAGATAGTCTGAACCCTATATATCCGATTAAATACATGACGACTTAGGAACTTAATTAGTGTAAAAAACTTCATTTTTGTTCGCAGTACCATCTTTCTTCTTAGCGACCTTGACCATGCATTCGTGTGCGTGGTGTCTCATTCACTTCAAAACCCCAAATGACTTCGCGCCACATAGTCCGTATTTCTGCCTGTGCAGGACAGAGCCGCCTGGCTTCACATATATGTCTACTTTACTGGAATATATATTAGACCAGGTCTCTTGAAGCCATAACTTGCGAAACAATAAATGTTTTAGACAAAATAAGAAGTTACGTCGCGTGATTTTTAAAAACCTTTTACACCACTATTTCGAGGCGCATTTCTCATGGATGGCCGGGGGAAGAAAAATAGACATGCTAGGTACGAAGAAGGACGAAGTGACGACCCATGATCTCCGTCACGCAGCTCAGAGGGAGCAGAGCGAAGGGAAGAGGAGGAGGAGGAGTCAGCAGCAGAGATATGCAACCAGTAGGAGATAGATAGATTAGACGATGACATTGGATGTGGAGAGCTAGAGAGAGAGAGCTGACGGCGGGCTGCCCTCCTGCTCCCTAAATCTGGACGATATTTCACGCGTTGAAATACATGAGAGAAGAGATCGTGGGTTGATACCTGTTCCGTGGTGTACATGTGCGTGAGCGACGTCCTAAGGCATTGGAGAGACGTCGAATAATTTGTTAAGGGGAACAGGGAACAGGGGAGGGGGTATAACAGGTGAGGTGGATAATACTATCGTAGAAGATCTTGAGTAATGTGAGGACGAGCACGTAGTACAAGAAGGGTGGCGAGATATACGAAAGAGAAGCGTCGGCCAAACCGAGCACGCGTGCACCACACACTCCATGCTCCACCGCACCATACTACTGATCAGCACACCGTCACACAGCGTCCGCCAGCCACCCGGCTGAGCGCACAGTCCGAGCAGCGGAGGCCGGGAGACCATCCAAACCATCCACCACCACCATCATCTGCCCCCCAACACTACCGTGCGTATGTAGGCCTACATGTTAACGGTAATGTTTATGACATGTCTATCTATCAACCAGGCGTGAGAGTAGAACGCCGTAAAAAACTGATTCACCAGAAAGTCACACGACAAAACCTCTTCTGGTGTGTCTGGAAACCACTGTTAAGCTCACTTGAAATCTACCTCAGAAATCTATAATTACGCTATACTATATAGTTGTGTACGTACCGACATAATTGGATATCATAGGTGCCGCGTGGGTACATTAAATAGCCTAGTCTATAACCGGCATGGTGATGAATGTGTTTCTTCATAACCGTCGCATGGAATAGTAGAAATGTTTTAATCCAAACGAATTTTTTTGCTGCCATAACATGCTCGCCGGCTTTTAGAACGTACCCTTTCTCCTGGAAGCGTCACGACTCAATTGCACCGTGTACTCATATACGATTAAGAACAAACTAACCAGTAGATGGTACCCATAGATTTTCTCTTCTCTATATCGCCTGTTCTTCTACAGTTGATTCTCATTTTTCACCTCTAATGCCCCCTATTTCCCTTACAAAAATAATCTATAGGTTTACCTATAAGAGACGGTCTATAGGAATCCTATAGGATTCTATTAGATATCCTATAGGATTCCTATAGACCGTCTTATAGTTTCTATAGGATCCTATAGAGAATTGGAACATAATTTCTATAGAATCATAGTCATATTTATATAAGAATATCTATAGGATGTTATAGGAATATTTATAGGATCCTATAGGAATATCTATATGATGTTATAGGAATATTTATAGGATCCTATAGGAATATCTATAGGATGTTATAGGAATATTTATAGGATGTTATAGGAATATTTACAGGATCCTATAGGAATATCTATAGGATGTTATAGGAATATTTATAGGCTCCTATAGGACCCTCTCTAAAGATTTCTATAGGAATACATGTAAGATTCTATAGGAATATGTATAGGATGCTATAGGACCTGCTGTAGAGATATCTATAAAAACATTTTGGGTTAAAACATTGCATTACATTTACAATAGAAATATATTTATTCAAAAATGTATACGTACGTAACACACAGATGAAATAGCAATAATATAATTATGTAAAATTACAATTACAAATTACAATTTTTATAACTTTACTAGCTGCGGGTACCCGCTGCGATGGGTAAAATCGCTACTAATTCCTACTACTAATAATCGGACACAATAGGAACATTGGGTAAAAATCGACGATAACATTGCACACAATATCAATATTTACAAATCAGTCTAATAAGATAATAAGCATGGGAAAAAACTGTTACGTATGACATTTATATGACAGCACAACCCAACTTAGAACCCCTGGAACATAATAGTAATATGGTGTAAATGACAAAAAGTTATTATAACAGCATATACGAATGGGTTGCACTTTTCATTTGAAAACCTCTTGATAAACAATGTTTTTCGTCTTATTCTCTGGTGCAAATATGTAGAGATTCCTGGCGTCTCAAACTCTTGAGCTCCCCACGTACAGCTATCCATTGTCAGATCGTAGCATGAATAAAAGAAATTCCATATATCCGTTTTCGGCCGCCATGTTGAATTCAAAAATAGCCGCCGTCATTTCTTAAAAAATAGCTATATCTCAGTTAACAATCTTCGTACAGACTTGAAAATTGACTGACAGACGTAATTTGGGTTACTATTTTATACAACAACGTGATGCATGTGATCCAAGGGCGTTTTCTGCCACCATCTTGAATTCAAAATGGCCGCCGTCATTTCTTAAAAAATAGCTATATCTCGGTTAATAATCTTCGTACAGACTTGAAAATTACTGACAGACGTAATTTGGGATACTCTTTCATACAACAACGTGATGCATATGATCCAAGGGCGTTTTCTGCCACCATCTTGAATTCAAAATGGGCGCGCCGGATAAAGGGAGAAGTATAGAGCAAACTTTCAACGTGACCGTTTTCGTCTGGCACAGAAATCGCGGAACGGTGTACAGCAAGCCGTGCTCAAAACCACGCGCGCAAGCACGCGACGCAGCACGGCACATGAACAGATAGCTTCATACGGCCCGCGCGAGAACGCACGCCACGCACATAACCAGATAGCCTATATCACGCGCCAACGAACACCGCAGCGCACATAAACAGGTACCTTAGCGCCCGCGAGAACGCACGCACATAAAACAGATAGCCGATACGCCGCACGAGAACGGCACCGCCACGATAACAGATAGCGATACGCCGCGACTACATAAACAGGTACCAATACGCCCGCGAGAACGCGCAGCGCACATAACAGATAGCTATATAGCGCGCGCGACACGACGCAAAAGAACAGGTACCTAGACTCGGCCCGAGAAACGCACGCCACATAACAGGATAGCGATACGCCGCGAGCACGCCAGCACATAAAGGCTAGCTATACGCCCGCGAGAAACGCACGCACGCAAACATACATGGTTACCTATACTACGCGCGCGAGCGACGCACGCACGAATATAACAGATTATCTATACGACGCGAGAACGCAACGCACGCCATAACAGATAGCTAATACTCGGGCGCGCGAAACACTGCACGCACATAACAGGTACCTATACGCCACGAGGCACGGACGCCATAAGCAGCGTACCCTATAGCGACGGCCGAGAACGCCGCACCACATAACAGAAGCTATATACGCGCGCGAGCACGCACGCACATAACAGACCTATACGCCCGCGAGAGACGCACGCACGCACGATGAACAGAAAGGCTAGATACGCGCGCGAGCACAACACGCACATAACAGCATACCGCTATACGCCCGCGAGAACCGGACCACAGGCACGCCACATGAGGCAGAATCTCGTCTATACGCTGCCTTGCACGTAACTACTGGACGTGAAACATTTTAATTGCATATGATCCGAAACGAGATATATTAAATCGACTTTTCAAAAGAAGGCAAAGCAAAGAAAGAGGTTCCGGTGCAGAAACTAAGCCACATTCAAACTTTATTCACCACGGAGTCTACCGTTAACAATGTCTCAACGAAGCGCAAATATACATATAAATGGGCAGCGAATATTGCGTTCGGCATTTGGTTTTTGCCAACCTTTCCCTACATTTATCTGTATTATACACGGTATTCCATATTACACATGAAGCAACGCTTTACATATCACGCAAAGACACACACACACACACACACACAGCAACCCTGTGTGCCGCTACTCACTATCTTCTGGAACTATAACAACAAGACAGTAAAAATGAACTAAAGAGTTGTCTCACATACAGACGTACTGTGGTTGACCCTTTGAACGAGTAACCAATCCAACTAATTCTTCGTTATCACATATACTTTCACACAAAAAGGTCGACAATTATAAATCAAAAACAACCCGGATCGGCATCGCTATCGAGAGAAGTAAGCATTTCTAACAAAGATTCAAAATTAGTTAAGAGTTCGTACAGCAATCATAAATTTATAACTCGACGACACATCACGGGATGCAACTTACAATGATTATATGATCAAGTACTATCACCGTAGTACTAGTAATAGTATATAGTATACAATATATATAATAATAGTAATATATAATATTAGCATACTATATATACATATATATCTTTTTCCCTTCCACCTCTCCATTCTTCCTCTTCTCTCCTCTCCCGTTCTCACTGATAAACTATAAGAAAAGCAGCAAACTAATTCGGCGCCATGTTGTAAAATGTTTTCAGTTAGTGGGAAGAGTCGAAAAATGTTTCCGGTCTCTTTAGAAATAAGACTTGCACATTTATGCGTCACATCACTAAACACAACATTTCGCTGCAGTACATCATCACAACATTTCTACGGCGTACGAGAGAACCCTGGTTGGGTGTATCTTAAACAGGATAAAATCGCTAGCTAAAACCAATCATAAGCCAGTTGAACACATCAATAATAGACAAGCTAAAACATTATGCATGTATAAATAAATATATATATATATATATATATATAATATATAATATATACAATATATATATATATCGGATGCATATGCTCTATGTAAAACCTTAACGATACTGACATGCTCACAGCAGAGAAGGTGCATTTCATGACGGCTTCTTCCGCGGGTGCAATACATTCGAATAAACAACGGCAGATAAATAATAGGTTACAAGACATTTAATGGTAAACTTTTCTCTCGTGTAAACATATTTACCTGACAGATTTACAGTACTGTACATCAAATATATCCCTACAGTATTTACATACAAACACAGACCTTTGGATGGACCAACTGTTACGCCACCTGGTAAGAAAACATCCCCACGAGTATCTACAGACGTTCTCTGGTATGCGTGAATCACAAAAAGAAAAACCACATAGCTCGATTTATCGGAATCAGTATGGTAAATTGGTAATACGAAATATAAGAAGTTTCCAAAAAAAACCTTTTCGGATAAGCAAATAGTCAATAATGCGTCGGGGTTTCGTTTAGCCGTCTAGCGACAACTACCATGGGGAAAACGAGGGAAATGATAACCTGCCTGGCTACAGCTCTAAAACAAATAACCATCGGAGGAATAGACAAAATCGATTTGCTTTATTGATTACGAACCAACGACGGATGCACACGCATGGGAGAAAATACATGTAAGCAGTTGTTGATTTCGAAAAGCATAACGGTCATTTTAAAGTGCCGGTTGGCTTTAGGGATGCGGAATCTATTTTCCAAAATGGGGGAAAAACGCCTATGGGCGGGTTTCGATCATCTCTTTGCAACCAAGGGTGAACGTAACGCGTTCGTTCTTTGATCAGCTGTGACGTCATCGGCAGAGGGCTAAAAACTCGTAACATGGGCCTCACTAAAAAAAATCTTTCTATCGTGTTTCTGGTTTATATACAGTAATATACGGCGGTCCTTGTTGAGCAGAAAGAGTTAAGGACGTGAAATCGGCCTAATCAGCGCATGTACACGCAGGTACACGCAGGCGCATACAGCACGCATGCGAGAACAGCACGCACGCACGCAAATATTTCAGCGATACACAGCAGTGCGCGTTACTACTACCTACAGTTCTAGGAGGATAAATTTCCCTCGTCGTTATTATCAAGAGCGTATAAAGAAGGCCTTCTTTATACGCTCTTGTTATTATGTACTACAATCATCTCTGAGCAACAGGCTGAGGCTGCGATCGCTGGGTGTCAGTATTCGCTGTGTAGCGAGCCACACGACGGTACAAGCTCGCGTAAAGCGTCTGCCGCTGCGGCAATCAATGTACGGCAACGAGCAAACGAGAGCAGAAGCCGCCGTGTCGCCGATACAAGGCACGCGCGCACGCACGCACGCACGCACGCACGCACGTACGCACAACAGCAGCACTTCCACCAACCCACACACGTCACACGATCGAATTTCATATAAATCGACAAGAATGTTTTCTCTAACACAACACCACGGCACGATACGGCATTTGTTTCATTTATGACCCCTTGATGACCCCCGGAAAAATCCCAAACGACCCCTTGGGGGTCACGACCCCAGGTTAAGAACCGCTGGTGTAGCATGACACATAACCGTATACCATATCAGGAATGACATACAGAGAGATAATAATCTCGTAAAAACGTATACAGATACTACGATTATGTAACTCATGGTAACATGGCATAGCATGTCAAACAACACGAGTCAAGCCCGGACGCGCGGAAAGTTTCATGTTGCGTCAAGAAAGAAAAGTCAAAACCCATTCAATCTATGCCAAAATATCCTTCAATCGCGTTCCCCACAGCTAACCAGACGCCGGCGTGAACAGGTAGGTATCTGGTGGTGAAAAGAGACACTTTGGTAGGAGAAAACGGGTAGGGCGGAGAGAGGAGGGACATGCCATGCAATGGCGCGGGGCCAGACATTCTATACAAACGAATACACACGCAAACACGCACGCACGCACCGCACACTACCACTGCCTAGGTATTGATCACAATGTCTTTGATAGTTAGGTCTACTAGCTCTACTACTACACTTACTACTGCTGCTGCTATCGCCGCTGCTACCACTACCGGTACTACTACTACTACTACTACTACTGCTGCTTCTGCTCTACTACTGCTACACTACTACTACTACTACCACTCCACTACCACTACCACTACCACATGTCAGTTTTCTATTGGGAGAAACTGTCTCCTGCCGAAACGAAAAAAACAAACGACATATAATTTACAACAAAAAATATCTACACAAAGCTCCGCACGCCCGCGCGCACACACACACGCAGGCACACTACATCTGACCTACGAAATTGATGCACATAATTAAGCGGCATTCTACTCATGTGTACTCGTCCAAGAACAGTAGATAGTTCTCATAATCATGTACACATGTGCTTTGGGACGACGCCGATACAGTTTGCACATGTCTACTATGTCCTAGCACGAGAACACGTACATGTATGTTATAAGGAGTAAGATGATACGTGTATATATACGTATGTACAAGTAAGACGCCTACACGCATGATCTCACTGCTGGTGCTACGATATACAAAATAATGTTCACTCCAAGGATCACATTTTTACTTTTGCAAACACTTGCGTGCTCACAATGTGCTATACATACAGACACTCATGCGCATGCACACACACGCGCGCACACACACGTTGACTCATTATAGTATAGACGAGTCACTAAAACATCTACTCCAGCCACACAGTGATTGCAATAAATTATAGACATTCGGTTCTGCTTGCCTACAGATCTGTAGTGAGACAAACAGCGCCATTTACTGTAGGATACCGTGCAAACGCCGTAGCATGTGTGGGGGTTGCAGCGTAAAGTAGAGGGGTCGTAGGACTGGTAACGGGGGAGGCGGGGTGCCTACCGGGTGGGGTCGTGGCAAGCGCCCGAGCCAGCAATGATGGGTGAACGAGTACCGTCGCGCCGGTACACACGACTAGAATCATATTTACAAGCTGCTTCGCTCAGCTGGAGCATGGCGAGTCCACGACCTTCAAACGACGTCCTTGACCCTCCGGTGACCCTGTGATGTCCTTGACCACCCAGCGACCCTGAGATGTCCTTGACCACCCGGCGACCCTGAGATGTCCTTGACCATCTGGCGACCCTGAGATGTCCTTGACCCTCCGACTCTATCTGCTGGTTCCCCGATCACATTGCAATATGACATTTGAAAATACAGCTTTGAGCATGGAATGTGTCCAGTTCGGCTTGGCTTTCACAGCCTTGTCTGATGGTGGTGCCCCCTGGCAGGCAAAGGCAGCGGAGATGCATGAACAGGAAGAATCGCCGAGCCACTGGCCACAATGTGGAAACATAAGAACACGCACGCACACTAGGACCCCCGCCAGTACATCTTGAGCTTGGTCTAATGATGATGACTTTGGCCCGTCCTAGTCGCGACGGCACTTCCTTCGTTCCACAACGAACCTCCTCTGTGATTTGGGGTGGCCTTCGCGCACGCCCTCTATTAATTACACATCGTGAATGAGCAATCATCGGTGCGGGAAGAAATCCACCAAACAAACAACGCATGCAAAAATACCTCCTGAACATGTGTACGTATACAGGAACTCTCTCTCTCTCTCTCTGCGCAAAGAACTATATACATCAGTATATCCCTCGCATGCCAACGATCACGCAGGCACGCCACCTTGCAACCACCGACGGCATCACTTGACTACAGCTTGGTGGCGCCACCTAACGAGAGCCGATGGCGCCACCCAGCGACTGCTAGATGGAGAGACTGAGGCACGCGAGGGTGGAGACGGCCAGCCCCTCACGGCGGGCTACCACAGCAGGAGTTGAGGAGAAATGGCACGTAGAACATCTTGCTGCGCAGGAGCAGCTGCGCCGCTGACTGGATCTCGGGCAGACGCAGCAGCAGCTCGCCGAAGCGGTTCGGCTGCTGTGGGTGCCGGTGCTCTAGCATCGTGTGCAGTGCGTTCACGTAGCGCTCCTGTATCACCTCGGCGTCGCGAATCGGCTGCAAGTTGTCTGTCGAAAACACAAAGGGGCGCCGTTTACAATGCTGTCCCCGATGCACTGGGGGTGGGGGAATAAAGATGGTAACCGAGCAACGGTGACCATGACGACGGTGGCAATATCACTCGCACTAACGGTGCAGCTGCATAGTACGTCATCACTTGTCTTAAGGATGCAGCTACGCGGTGGTGTGCCACAACAGCATCTCTCATGTAACGGCAACGCAAGGTGGTGACATTGCATACGACACGACATCGTACAGCGTGTAGCTGACACGTCATCACCGCCCCATCCACCATGACCCCTGACTCCTCACACCTCACTGACATTGGTTGAGCAGGACTGTGATCCCATGACCCTTCACACACTGAAAGTCACATTTAACAGTATGACCCCGTGACCCTTGACCCCTCCACCCACTGACCATGGTTGAACAGTATGACCCCGTGACCTGTGACCCCTCACTCACTGACCTTGATTGAGCAGTATGACCCCGTGACCTGTGATTCCTCACTCACTGACCTTGATTGAGCAGTATGACCCCGTGACCTGTGATTCCTCACTCACTGACCTTGATTGAGCAGTATGACCCCGTGACCCCTCCCTCACTGACCATGGTTGAACAGTATGACCCCATGACCTGTAACCCCTCCCTCACTGACCATGGTTGAACAGCATGACCCCATGACCTGTAACCCCTCCCTCACTGACCATGGTTGAACAGCATGACCCCATGACCCATGACCCCTCACTCACTGACCATGGTTGAACAGTATGACCCCATGACCCATGACCCCTCACTCACTGACCATGGTTGAACAGAAATATGACCCTGTGACCCCGCACTCACTGACCTTGATTGAACAGTATAACCCTGTGACCCCTCACTCACTAACCATGGTCAAACAGTACGACCCCATGATCCGTGACCCCTCACTCGCTAACCATGGTCAAACAGTACGACCCCATGATCCGTGACCCCTCACTCGCTAACCATGGTCAAACAGTACGACCCCATGATCCGTGGCCCCTCACTCGCTAACCATGGTCAAACAGTACGACCCCATGATCCGTGACCCCTCACTCGCTAACCATGGTCAAACAGTACGACCCCATGACCCGTGACCCCTCACTCACTGACCTTGATTTAACAGCATGCCCCCATGACCCCTCACTCACTGACATTGGTTGAACAGCATGACCCCATGACCCCTCACTCACTGATCTTGATTGAACAGTATAACCCTGTGACCCCTCACTCACTGACCTTGATTGAGCAGTATGATGACCTTGAGACACGCGTACTCATCATCTGTTAGAGACATATTGCGGAAGATGATTGCCATGTGCGTGATGCGCTCGACCATCTCCCCAACCTCCTCTTGCAACTCCTCGACAGTGAACTCACGTCCGAAGATACGCGTCATCACCCTCTGTAACAAGAGACAGACGTCACACAATCACACAACACTGTGGTATCCCAACACACAGGCACACCCGTGAGTGCAGCCATGATAGCTACGCTAGAGTTAATGAAATTCTCCTGAAAATATTTACATACTATGATAAATACTGATAAAGATGCTAATAAAATAAACAATAAATATTATTATCAATATACTACATTTAAGAAAATATATGTGAAGAGAGCTGTTATTGTACTGTTATAGCACTGTTCATCCAAGACTCAATTAACCCTATATTATAAGCATTATATATAATATTATACATGTCATACATCATAATACATAATACATAAATACATAATGTTGATTGACCCAATGTACATAATACATAATACATAATACCATACATATATATAAGTATTATATTATATATATCAGGGGTCGAAATAAGCGATGGTCCGATGGTCCGGGGCCATCAAATAATCAGGAAGACCATCAGATTTTCGAAGTCAATGGTCCGATATTTATAGGTGAATAATTAAACCATTTTATCACCATGTAAAATCTCTTTCTTACACTTGCACACAGCTTTATTTTTAGAGAACAATTTGAAATTTAGGAGGACCATCTAAAATTTAGGAGGACCATCTAAATTTCAAACTAGATGGTCCTGTGGACCATCTCTTTTTTTCTCCTTATTTCTACCCCTGTATATATATATATATATATATATAGTTGTCATCGGGGCATGAACATATGAGAGGGAGATGGTGAGATGGTGAACAAACTGAGAAAGATACGCTGTGTGTCTGTAGCATCTCACGTACCCGTAGGTCCATGATGCATGCTGCCACCTGCTGGTCGAAGTTCATATGTGGCGCCGGTCGTCGCATCTTTGCCTGGTAAACAGCCGTTGTCAGCGATAAAATCTCGTGCCATTTCTGTGCAAAGAAATAAACAAATGTCCTTAATGTTCATAGTTGTTGCAAGACCCTGACTGCTAGAATTACAGTCAATCCTGTGTTAGTAGATGCCTCTACAGAACAAACACCTGTCCATAAAGGACATAATTGTTCTCATTGAGGAAACAGTTATATAACAGTTTGTGGCCTTATGCTCCACTGGGAGTGAAGAGGATAAGTAAGTAAGTAAACAGTTATATAGTGAAACCACTTCAATTCAACAGACAACTATCAATAAAGAACACTTTTGGGGTTTTTCTGCAAGTAATCCTTACAGACTTGACTCCTTATAGGTTGATTTTCATACCCATTTGCTAATTTGTCGCACGCACAAAGGCTGCTTCATCATGTAAAATAAACATAACAATCATTCATCGAGGTGATATGCTGTAGAATTGTCATCTAAGAGCACACGGACGTTATAAGATTCATGGCACCTAATAATAGCACACACAATACCAACAACGCAGCTGCACACGAACGTTATAAGATTCATGGCATCTAGCACACATACCACCGCAGTTGTTGTAATGATGATGCTTAATAATGATGAATCCAATGCACAGGTGATCACAACGGGGAGCATAGCATGAAACAAGTAGAAGATAGTAGCGAGTTACTCACCTGCATCAGCAGCTGTGTATGGACGGAGATCGGTAGTTGACTGTAGAAGGGCAGCCGCTTTGTCCACTGCACCAACTTGTATACCATGTTGTCCCCTATGTTACACAGCTGTGTGTTCACATCGCTCTTGTTAGCCTGCAATTTTTAAGAAACGAACGACTAATAAGACACTTGCAAGTTTGTAGATGCGTATGTACCATAACTGAACAAGCCTGTTGATGTATATTGAACATGTTATGTTGATATATATTGTACATTGTACAAGGTGGTTATTATATAATAATTTTATGTATCCCATATTGTACATCTGCTATATGTCATGATATGTGCCATCTAGGCACCTACAAGAGATAACACATATTGTGCAAATCTGTTAATATACAATGATGTATGTTATGTATTCTATATTGTCTACATTTGTTCTATATTGTATCTGTCAATGAAAATAAAATAATATTGTATATTGTACATACGTAATTTTGCATTGTTGATACGTAATTTACATTGTTCAATCAGTTGATGTATAATAATTTTATGTGTCATATTATGTGTATTATTTATTATACAACTTAGTTTATATACGATGACAATATTTATTCATTATTGCACAAGGCTGTTGATATAAAATATTATTATGTATTGTACATGTATTGTGTTGTACGTTACGTATCAAAAGTGCAACGTGTACCATTATTGTACAAATTTGTCGATACACAATGATACTATGCACGTGTATTGTATGTTGCATATTGCGTGTGTGTCATCTACCTGTATGATGCGATCGATGTTCTTGATAACGGCGATGTCGCGGAACGTGTCACAGCTGATCAGCTCAGCGATCATGCGTAGCGACTCCTGCAGCTGATGCTTCGACTCGTCGGCCGCCCCGCCGCTCGTCGCCGTGCCGACGACGATGCTGGGCAGGCGCATGTTCGTGCTTGACACAGGCTCGGGTTTCACGATCACACTTGCCTGCTGGTTGCTTCCGCCGCCGCTGCTGCCGCTCTGACAGGATGGGCTGAGTTGTGGAGGCTGAAAGCACGTCACCCTGCACAGGAAAACATAAGAGGAATGTCAATGCAAGTGGTTGCACACATAATTACTTAACTCTTGCTGAGAGGGGCTATATCTCACTGTACACTATGAGGATATACCTCCTCATGATAACATTATTTAATACTAACCTAACCATAACCCAACTCCTATTGCTAATTGTCAATAACCCCAACCCTGGTGATGACTACAACCGTAACCTTAACACTAAACATCAACCCAATATTAACTATAACTCTAACATTAACCGTTATACTTACTCTAACCTTGACCCAGGGGCAAACTATAACCATAACCCTGACCACGACCATAACCCTGACCCTAACCTTAAATTGACTGTCACGAATTTTCTATGGTGTATATTTGTAAAATTTGTGCAATCTTTTTACATTAAAAGTAAGTACTAACGGGACTAAAATGTGTCCTCAAGTTCCTCCCTGATAAGATTGTTTCTCAACTAGTTAAAAATCCAAAAACCTTGGCGATTTGATATATTGATCATGACATTGATTGCTTGGTATGGGCTATGTATCAGTCACGAGTGTATGTTTACATCGAACGAAATAGAAAAATAGTAAGTATAATGCAGCAGTTTAACCATAAAAATTTAACAGAATCACTTACATTTTGCGAAAAAGTGGGCATAATTTTTTTACTTTTACTATTTACGGTGACGTAATCACTTTAAGTACTCATGTACGTTTCCAGTTTAAGCATCCGTGGACAGACAGATACTTTTAGCTTTATGAAGCTGGGTTAGACAAGAACTTAGGAATGATCATGCCCCCACGATGTCAGCTGCTGTGAGAGACTGCAACAACTATTGCGAAGATTTAGCATAATGTCTCTACTGCATTTACACCACGCCCAATTACCTGCAACTAGGTCACTGATCCTATGCCACCATATACATTATAATCCAATAAGCATACACACACCATGCTACCATTACCCACACCTAGTGTGCTAATCTTACACTACCACATACATTATCACAATTTAATAAGAAGCATGCACACATAGCATACCACCTGTACCAACAGAGCACTAATCTTATGCTTCATATTTTCACTAAAGAAGCCATTTCACGCTAAAGAAGCTTTTCACAACCACACATCTTCACCTGCCATTATACAACGAGAGATGCTCGTTATCCAATACTGACGTCCTAATCAAATAATCGAGTGTGATAATAACATTATTACCGGTATCACATTATTACGCATTATTTCGCAGTGGCAGCTGAGAGCAGCGGCGAGTGCTCTGATCACCCTGGTGTTTTACTCTCTTACCCTGCGGTCTGTGGGAACGTCACTGCGCTGACTGCCGTTGGCACAACAAGTGCCTGCGGTTTCTGCTGCGGCGGTCCAACAGCATACGCGTGCGGGAATGCGCCCTGTGTAGAGTACGGTGGCGCCACCTGATCGGGCTTCAGCTGGTTGCTGCTCTGCTGCTGCTGATTCTTCTTCTTGTGTTTCTTGTATTTAACCTGCAGGGAAGTAAAGGTGGCGAGGCATGTTGAGATGCATTGAGACAGCATGAGTTACGGAGGCACTGTGAATTGCTACCGAGATGAGAACAAGTCATGTGAGCAT